TTCTTTAGTAGCTGCACAATTGGCGGCTCCTCTAGAAGGGCTCAGCTCCATGAGTAAGTAAGTAATAAAAACTCACACTAAGGAATTTATCAGTTGTGCGCTGAAGGTCTGAAAGGTCACTGAGAGCTCATGGCGCCGATATTCTTTCAAACGATTAAACCTCTATGGTGAGACTAGCAGTACTATAGATATATTGCTCACCGTTCGGTTTCTCTGCATAATTCCACTAGCACATGCAGTACTCCGCCTACATTAAATCTGTCAAATGTAACCTGTTTCACATTGTTGCCCTGGTTACAATTTTTAACGTAGAAAAGTTTTTTTTATTGCTAGTGGGGTGGGACTAAGTCCCTTGTACTGCGCCCACTTCTGACCTATTGTACCAGCCCCAGATGATAGGTGAGGGTGATTGCGGAGCAATTGGTGGAATGAAGATTGGCAGGGGAAACCGAAGTACTCGGAGAAAATCTGCCCCAGCGCCACTCTGTCCACCACAAATCCCTCTTGACCAGACCAGGGATCGAACCCGGGCCGCCGCGGTGGGAAGCCAGCGACTAACCGCTTGAGCTATGGCGCGGCCTTAATGTAGAAAAGTTACTTTATACAGAACTTAACAGGCACGTCTATGATCCACATCCATACAACGTTTGAAAAACTCAGCTCCAATGATTCATTAATTGGAGCATTAACCTGAGAATTAGATGCGATAAAACACATTTCGGGTTGTCACCATGTTGTTTTGCATTGTGCAAAATAGAGAAAAAACATTAACAAAACTGTTTCCGAAGATATATCTGCGCAAAATACTTCAGGACCCTTCTTTGTTTTTAATTCGCTTAGTGGGGGGGAGTCCAGCTGGGTCCACCCGGCACGGCGGCCACTGATTAGCCAATTATAGCTTGCCCCGGGTGTTTATGATGATGGAGAATTTGGTGGAATGAAGACTGTCAGGGAAAACCCAAGTACTCGGAGAAAACCCGCCCCAGCGTCATTTTCTTCACGACAAATCCCACTTGACTAGACCCGGGATCGAACCCGGGCCGCCGTGGTGGGAAGCCAGCGACTAACCGCTTGAGCTATGGCGCGGCCTCAGGACCCTACTTACATGGGTGCTGAGTAGCTCTAATATGAAGTTCGCTAGTCCGCCACTTTCATAAAACTACGCAGAACAAATGTATATACGTTTTTATAACGGCATGACGTTCGTATTACGTTTCATGAGAATCCGTCGGTCAGGTCCATTAATATGAAGGGTTAGGCACGCAGACATCACGCTATTAGCAAATGTGTTCTACTAAATATGCCATTTAGGCTAAAAGAAAATAGAGAATGACTGCATATTGCATCGGATTTGATCAACGCGCTGGAAGGCAACAGCTCGGTAAACACGGTCTAACACGCAACAATAGAGGAAACTGTTTTCTGTAGATCCGACCGACGCGCCAAAAGAGTAGCTGGATAGCGATAACGTGATACGTTTACTGTAGCTCCGTGCACGGTCCGCGGCTATACAAGAGTGACAGAATTCGTTCAGGGCAGTTGCGAGTTACGAGTCAGTCGCAAGGTGGAGGAGTGAGTCCAGCAGAATTTTTACATAATGATTTGAAATGCCACTTTCTGTGTTGAGATCCGTTGCCAAGATACGACTAGTGAAGACGGACAATCCTAGTGCGTGTGCAACGATGAACTGGAAACAGTGTAAATCAGCGATATCGTGGCATTTAAGGGTGATTAAGAGAACTTGTAACCAAGGTACTATTAAAGCCAATCATGCGAACTAGAACCCGTCATTTTCGTCACGCGTATCACCCTACAAGTGACAATATTTTACTGATGGCTGCAATAAAAGTTGCATTTAGAAAATATATATGATATACGGATTTATATAAATGAAATCTGTATTAATCAACTCCAATGTAAAGGCAACGCTGATTCGGAGTTACGTATTAACCAAAAATATACACAGAAAATAAGTCTGAATGTATGATCACAGGTCCATGGTACGAAGAGTGACGTATGCCTTTCATGCACGCTGGAATTTAATGCTGCAAAGCATCAGTGGTTGTGCATGAAGTCACATTCGTGCTATTTTGAAGCTTATGGAAGCTTTCATAGCAGAGAACTCAAAAAGCATACCAGCGAATAATCTTTACCGAAGTAGAAGAAGAAACCCTTTAATACTTCACACATACACAACATTAGGGCGCAATCTTAACGTTCATTTCATCCAAGTCTGCCTGCACAGCCTAATCTCAAACATTTTCTGACGACGTACAGGCCTAAATCACATGTAGAGACACTGAAAGCATAACTGTCAGGGATAAGTCACTGGTTAAATGGGAGAGAATAAGAGAAGATTTAGCAGAAGAGGTAGATGAAATAGGCAAAGGAAGAGAAAATAATAAGCAGAGAAAAAGAGCAAAAACAAAAGTGCAGAAGAAGAGACACGGAGGAGGAGACGGGAAGGATGGAGAAGAGAATGTGGAGGCAAGAAAAGGAAGAAAATTGCTGGTTTTTGTCACCTTGCCTATAAGGCAGGAAATAATCTACACAAAATAGTAATTCTTCCTGACGACTTGTGTCAAAAAAGATCCGACCACTTAACGATGTCTGCTTGACTGCTGTATATGAATACGGAGACGAAACAAAAGCCAATCATATAAAATATATTTATACTAAAATTACTATTGCTCACCGAAGTCTGGTGGGAAGACGAAACAGAGCTAGTATAGTTATCAATTAGATCTATCTTACGGAACATAACGCCATGTATTCACAGATGGACAGACATGAGCTCCACATAAGGCGTCTCTTTTTACTTGGAAAAAGGCTTAAAAAGATTAATCGGAGAATCTGAAGACATATCAATTTAAGGAAACAGCAGCGAGCGGTTTTTAAACATAATGTGATTAGACAACTGGGTACTACCATCGCTTATTTGTATTCGAGAAAAGGACCCTGTTGTATTCAGAGTTGCAAAATGTGAGATCCTCCACCCCCCACACCCCTCGACACTACGAGTACCACAACAAACCGGAAACTTGTTGGATTACTTTACAACCATAATAGCTATTATTGGACTTATAATATTGTTTTAATGTGTTGAGAAGCAAAAGCCCAACTAAACTATACAACGTATAGCTACTTACAGAATGTCGACGGGTGGAGGGGGGGGGGGGG